AATTCTAGTTGTAACCTCCATCAGGTGGGATAATTTCCACATCTGTTCAACTTTCTGTCTTTGTTAACAATGCTCCAAGGATAAATTTAAGTTTAAAGCTCAGGATGCCTTATTTTCTCCTGTCAAGAGACAGTCTGAAATTACAGAAGCAGAAATAACGGGAAATGCAATGAAAAAAGAGTCAGGTAAATCACAGTAATCACAGTGATCACAGTGACAGGCAGCAGAGAGCTCAATAAAATATTACACTGTTTACTCAGGGCACAGACTACCAAAACTGCTTGGGGTGCTTCAGTGATGGTAATGAATAACAAAATAATTAGCAGCTCAGTTGTGTCAGGGCAGCCACTGCCTTTAGTTGAAATAACAGGGCTGCATTTGGACAAGGGATGGCAGAACCATAGGAATGGCCATCAGACACACATACATAGAGGGAACCAAACCCTTGGAAGTGTTCTCAGCCAGGTTTGGGGTGTGGGTGCTGCTGCGTGGGGTCAGAGGTTGAACTGCACAGCCCTTGTGGGTCCCTTCCAAATTGGGGAACTCTGCGATTCAGTCACAAAAAGGCTTGCCAGGCAGTTTTTATTCTCATCATCCACTTCAGATGTTCTTATGCAAAGCCATGGATGTGCCTGCTATTTGCTGCAATGCTGATAAGCCCCAGAGGACACCCACCGAGGAGCTGCCACAGCCACGGGCTCACTTTGATACGTTCTCTTTCTGAATTTGCCTTCTTTCCAAAACCCCTTTTTTTAATCTTTCTTTCAAAAGGGTTCATCGTTCTTTTGACAACTGGAGTGCACACAGCTCTGCCAGCTGGCTGCATTTGTTACCTTGTGTTTGTAGGGTGGGAGCTCACCGGGACAAAGCTTCGGGCAGCACTAAGAGAGGCTTCATTTTTTCCTCATCCTTCCCCCATTCCTCCCTTATTTTCCCTCCCTCCTTTCTGCTTCTGGCACCGCTGCACAGCGCGAGGAGCTGCTGAAAGTCACCTCGGGCTCTTCCATCGGACTCCCACAGGTCACAAAAAAGCTCATTCAGCTTAATTCAAATGTATCAGAACTAATATACTTTGGACCAGAGAGCAAATGATTATTTTGTGTTGATTACCCTTTGCTTGCAGATTTCAGAAGATGGAAATTTCAGGCTCATAATGGAAATTCAGCTGCAGCCGTGACCATAAAGCAGCTCCAGCATGTGGAATTACGAGTTGCAGACCGGCAGAGCCCTGTTCTATTTCAGATGAAATATTCCAGACTTACATCCCAGTAAATGAGATCACCTGCTAGTGCAAACACTTCCCATGATTTAAGGCTTTTAAAGAGGGCAGAAAGCCATACACAGACATCTTACACAGAACGAGCCCCGACAGCTACCGATGTGGAAGGAATCCAGTGAATGGATGAGAAGAACAAGCCCTGGAGGGAGCATCCTGCACTGCTTGCTGCCATCAGCCCTGCAAGGGGACGAGGGACCTCAGCTCCATATGGGGCCAGCTCCCCCATCCTACTCTCCCAGCCCTTTGCTCTGTGTGCTGGGCAGGGATGAGTCCTGAACAGCGGTTGGCAGTCGTGAGTTAATCTTCTACCAAGAGCTGACATCCTGCTCGAGTGCTGGCAATTTCAAAGAGTAACGTGTTGTCAGTTTTAGCTGGAGAGTGGTTGCTATGTGAGTTTAGAAGTCTTTTGCATATTTATTTTATCCCACTTTAAATAAATTTGGGTAAGATTTATCTCGTTAACTTCAAATGCAAGTCCCTCTTGGCCCGACTGAAGAAACAAATTAGACTTTGCAAACATTGCGAAGACTAAATCAATACATTAATATTTAGGGGACATTAAAGAGGTTTATTAAGCAGAAAAAAAGGCCTTGAGTATTACTTTGGAAATATTACACACTCTTAAATTTAAAATATAGGTTGTGGTTTCCAACCGGATCTGTAAATTGCACTTAGGGAGTCAGCTGAGATGTCTGCGTGCCCGGTGTGTGCAGTGGGCATGGATGCCACAGATGGCAGGATGTGCCAGGAGCAGCACCTGGCTGGGGCTCACCTTGCATCTCCCACCCACCTGAGCCCTCCCTGATGGCTGCACTGTGAGCCACGCATTGCCTACCCCAAAGGTCAGCTCTGTGCACAGGCAGAACTAAAGAACTAAATCATTAATACATAAGGGTGAGAGGTATTTCAGTTTTTGACTTCAATCTGGCAAACAGCTGAGAGTGACATCATCCCTGCATGTGGCAGGGGGTTGGAGATTCATGATCCTTGAGGTCCCTTCCAACCCTGGCCATTCCGTGATTCTGTGATCCGCAGCTCACGGCTCTGCAGATCAAGCACCTGGATCTGATGTAGATTATGCTGATTACAAACTCCAACCTTCTAAACTTTTAATTAATTACTTTGTAATTCTCACTTCTATTTAACAAGGTCACCGAAATAAAGGAAATCAGATTATCTTCCTCCCTTTCATCTAGGTTTCCTTTCTCTGATGTAAATGGGGCTAAAACATGTTAGGATTTTTCTTCTTTTTTTTAATCAATTAATTCAGTTTGTTTTCTTGGTACAAAATACTTCACCCACGCACTCAGTAGCAGTGACCACAGCTTGACTTATTATTTCCTTATAGCCCTGAGCGGGGGCTGGAGAGGTGGAATTCCCCCATCAGGCTCTGCTGGAGGACGGCTCACCCATCCCACTGGGCAGGCATGGGGCAGCAGCTGCTTCCCTGCAGCCCACAGCCATTGAGCACATCCCAGGGCACAGTACTGTGTGCACGAGATCCGTGGTTTAATCTGCGAGTGCACAGCATTTGGGGTAATACAGCCAAAGCCGTGCTTGGGGATGCTCCTGTCATGAGCCAGAAAATAGATCAAATCAGGAGGGGAGTAATGGAGGCATGATGAACTTGTTGAACACTGGAGCCAACAACAAAACAGGAGCCATGCCCACACTTAGCCAGGTTATGGCCATTTTGCAGCTTGGACCTCTTTGTCTTTCTGTGTTTTACTAATGGAAATCAAGGCACTTTAGATTGCCCACTAAAATGTATGCATTCTCTGAAATACTTGGATAAATGGGATTGGAAATTGTCAGCCCAAGGAGCAGAGCAGAGGATATTCAAAACGAAACCTACTGCATCTGTGCGTGTAAAGATCTAACAAAACAAAAAGAGAGAGAGAGAGACTGAGTTGGACGGACACAGCTTTTGAAGTGGGGGTTTCACAGCAAACAATTTTACAGTCTGCAGTTTAACCTATTTGAGAGCTTATGATCAGACCTAAGTATTGTCCATTCAATTTACGACCCCTGGCTCCTCCACTTCTGTTGTTTTCAGCAGGAAAAGGTCTTCTTTCAGTGTTATTCGATGGAATGCAGTCTGTAGGGCAGGGGAGTGATAAAGAGCTGTGCTGTTGCCTTTACATTTTCCTCCGCTCGTTCTATTTCATGTGCTGCTCCCAAGCTGCTGCTGATCACTCATTCACAGCACAGATGGGAACCCAGCCCTTTGATGGAATGATTCCACTTTGGCTAAAGATCTGCTTTGCCCTTCATTTATTTTTCCCCAATAGCAGAAGTCACTTCTAATCTTTCAATACAAAATCATTGTATTAAAAGGAAACATAAAACCACCTCCATGAAATGTTAAGATGTCATCCCCATGAACCCCGTGCTGCAGGAAAGCACGCGCAAGCTGCAGCGCCAATTAGCTGTTTGATGTTCCCTTTACAGCCTGTTACTTTCAGGCAGCCCTGTCTCCATCTCCCAGGATACATAAATCCTCCACCTGTGCCCTCCAAGCCCGGCACATGGCGGTGAGGCATGGGCATAGAGCAGCACGAGGGGAAGGGCTCAGAGCTGGGCAGCCCCACGCTCAGCCTGTGATGCCCCACACGGGGATCCCACCCATGTGGGGCAGGTGATGACAGCCCACCTGCCAGGTGTGCACAGCAAAACCCTCCCTGCACAGCTGGTAACTGTTAATACTGTTGGCAATATGTACTTCAAAATAGGAGTTAGATAGAAAAAAGATCACAGAAAACAGAAATAATCTTGGATAAATGCAGTATACATACCACCAAAACAATAACTGATGCTGTCACTGCTTCTTCCCTTCAGCCTCCCAGCCCAGCTGTGTGCCAGTGCCCCTCAGCCCCCAGGAGCAGCACACACACAGCTCTGCACACTCAGGAGTCTCTGGGGAACTCTGTGGGGACCACACAGCGATGGCGTTCTGGTGGCACTGAGATTTTTCATGCAACAAACGCCCTCAGAGCCAACAAAGTCCAGCTGACACGCACAGCACCCCGCTCTGGAGGTCCGGCGGTTAAGAACAATTAGCCAGAGAAGCATTAGGTACCCATCATTTGTACGTGTGCCATGTGGATTAATAGAGATTGCCATTTCAATTCCTCTGTTTTATATTCATTGCTTTATCACTCATAAAAATGCAAAAGAAAATGTTAATGATGATTACACCAAAGACTAATAAATTAAAGCCTTAGGTTATACTTTGCATTTCTGAAGATATAAATGCAATCGCTTAATAATTATGCATATTTTAACTATTGAGTTATTATTTCTCTATATTCCCGTAGTTAGCCTAATTAATTTTAAGCTCCTGTTTATATGTTTTATAAATGCAATTAATTTCCAACTATTTTCTTAGCCCCTCATGCGAGGGCATTAAGTATCATGCAGACAATCAGAAGGAAGGATTGCTCGCCCTGGAACAACACAATCAATATTACCTCCACGCGTAAAGCTGGCAGCCCAGCTCGAAACAGAAAACCACCTTGTGAAAATAAATGGACTTTTCTAATTAACAACAGGCAATACTTCCATGAGGAAGCTGTGGTGCAGATGAGAGGAAAGCTACAGATTGGTACAGCAAAATCAGCCTTCTTTTGTCTTGACTTCTTTAGTCCAATGTTTGTTATTGCACTGTGCTGTTTTTACAGTGCATCCCCAACAATCATCTGCAATTAGCTTAAACACGTACCTTGCACAGTTAGGTGCACCTGCATCGTTCTGGGAGTGTGCTGGGTTTGCACAGAACAGGTGTAGGGACCGTCATCTGTCACATCCACGTCCTGGATCTGCAGGCTGTACTCTCTCCTGTTTGCTGTCGCGATGGAAACTCGAGGGTCCACCGACCACTTGTCACTGCCAGCAAAAATAATGCTCGAGCGGTTCAGCCACGCGCCCTTGGAAGCTCCATCTTCCAAGTAACACCTGGGGGGGAAAGGGAAACCGTAGGTGTGAAAACTCGGACTTCCTGAATACGATTAACTTGCTATTGATTTTTAGATTGAAAACAGCTGCAACGTCTTAGAGTTGAACCTCAAGACATATGGGGCATTTGTTAATTCACAAACTGTTCTAAAACCAAGAGCCCGTGAAAACACAGCACAGTTCCATGAAATATGTTTAGAACATTAGTGGCACAGTACTGACACAAGTAGGTGCGATTTGTCCACGTTACCTTGGGTTTTGTGCAATAATCACTCATAAGAAGAGTTACCACCAAGGCTGCTTTTCAGGGCAAAGTCCCTCTGATCAGGGGCAGTGACACCAGTGCCCTACAACCACATGCACCCCAGACAGATTCCTCTCTTTCTAAATCATAGTTCATGAATATTCCTCCAGAGACTGAAAATACATCCGCCTGAGGAGTGAGGCAGCACTCCTGCCCAATGCACCGGGCTCTGAACACAGCACTGGAGCTGCAGGCGGCACGCAGCAGTGCAGGTATTGCCAGCTGCCCAAAAGCAATCAGCTGGAAAACACGGAGAACGAGGCGTGCTGGGAAACCTCATCTGTAGTCTGCTCTACCATCTCCAGAATCAAAAACGAGTTGGAGTATTAAAGGTCAGTATTAATTGAAAATCTTTTCTGTAGATACGCAACCAAGAAAACCCACCAACCCAACAGCTGGGTGTAACGGCAGCATAACCTTCCACCAAGGCAATTAGGCACTGCAGTTGTCAGTATTTTGCGCTCCGCATTAGAAAATGTTTGTAATTTTCTCCAAAATAGATCATACCATCTATCATCTCACGTCGCTCTCTTGTACACCTGGATGAGCAGAAATGCTCTTTCAGGGATGCCCCTGAATGTCACTGACCAGTCCTGAGGGCAGCACTGCACCCAGGGCAGCTCCTTTGGCTTTGTGCAGAAGGAGCCACTGAAGAATTGTGGCCGCAGGTCCCAGCACCTGGCTTGAGCACAACCACTGAGCCCAAGGATGCAGGAAATAAAGCTCACACCATCCCCTGGGCGTGGGGCTGAGGTGCCCTGCTGTGAGCTGTGGCGGTGCAGCGATATGGAGCCCAACAGCTTTGGGCTCTTCTGTTTGAAATTAAGGATCTCAGGGACAGGTGGGAGAGCAGGGGACAAGAAGGGCACTGATGGCTATTCCTCAGCCCCATGCACGTTGTGGCTGTTCCTTAGCCGCTGCTTGGACAGTGCCACTATCATAGAATCACAGAATTACTGCGGTTGGAGAAGCCCTCTCAAACCCCTGACCCCACCCCTGCTGCCCACATCCCTTCATGCCACATCCCCATGGTTCTGCAACACCCCAGGGACGGTGACCCCCACCTCCCGGAAAGCCTGTGTTGTTGCTGAGTTGCTCTTAGGATAAAGAAATTTCCCCTAATATCCAGCCTGAGATCCTGGCATACAACCTATGTTCCATGTGTCAGCAACAAGGGATCACTGAAAGTCTTCTAAACTAGAGATGCATTCCTGACCTTCAGCCAGCAGGATGACTTCTGTGAGCAGCAACTGAAATCCTGAAGGAGCAGCAGGTGAGAAAGAAAACACAACAGTGAGAAGAAAACTAGTGAACACCAGCACAGCATGGCTGTATGATGTACAAAGATACAAGAAAAACACACACAAGCACAGTTCCTGGCCACAGAAATGTTGGTCTTAAGAAGAGGACGGGAGAGAGGAGATGAGACTTGAGCAGAAGAGAACAGTGACAGCTCAGGTAGGGAACACAAGGCTGGGAGGGGCGGCTCAAAACCTAGATGAGGTCTGCTCCCCATTTTCCATACGGGTGACATCAAACATACAGAAAAGGCAGAGCAGAAAAGGGAGACGGCAGCAGAGAGAGCTGGAATGGTCTGAGAGCGAAAAGCCGCAAATCCAGCCGCGTGGGGGGTTTGGTGCAGGAAAAATAGAGAAAGCGGTACTTTGTGGCTGGAAAATAATAACTGTATTATCTGTATTTAAGGAAATGAGGAAAGCGAATCAGGCAAATTTTAGGCTAACCACTGGGAGCACAATAGAACTTAAGGCTTTAAAATGACTTTAAAAGTTTAAGGAACGTAATTCAAAGTGCAATAGACTAATGGGACATTTTTATTTGATAAAGAGGTTTTTCACATGAAGGAAATCCAACAGAAGGAGATAATGCGGTAAATCTCTTTGATAAAGCATTTAAATAGTGCAACTATGGAAACTGTTAGGTAGGAGAAAATGGTGATTTAGTAGCTTACGCATATGGCGGCATTGTTTAATGGGAAAAGTGACATTCGCATTAGAAATAAGAAACCAAAGCGTCGGGCTGAAATTCTTCACAAATGATCATAAAATAACTATTCAGTCATTTAATTAAGGGTCTCATCATGGAATCTGAATAGACAGGCAGCTCAGATGGAAACCATGTGTGAGGTGTAAGGCACATGAAGGGGGGTCGCAGAGGGAAGTGTCCCTCTGAGGGCGGAGGGCTCCACGGAAGGCTGTGAATCCCAGCAGGGGTCTGGGGGATCTGGATGTGCTCAGAGTGCCAGGAGCCGCTCTCTGCCAAACGGATGGTAGTGAGCAGCAGGCCGGGGGAAGCTGGGGAGCCCCCTTGAACCTCTGCAGGGTGTTTCTGCAGCAGCTGGGAGCATCACTTATATATACATCAGTGCTCCTGGAGGGACGGCTGCACGTTGCTCCCTCACTGGTGCACGCACATACAGCCACAAATATGCCTGAATGTGTGACCCCCCCCACAGAGGGCAGCCCCCCCAGCTGTGGGAGCAATGTGCCCTGCCTTGAAGGGCTGCAGGCACTGATGGTTGTGGTGCTGATGAAGACAGCAGTGGGATTCCAGTCTGGTCCAACAGCCTTCTAAAACAGCTGAGGAGCATCGTCCATTAATACCTGTGCTCCTGTAGGGAACAGGTGTCACAGATAGACACAAACACCTGCTAAAGCCAACTTTCCTTTGTGTAGTACTAATTAACAAAAACAGAACGCTGCAAATAATTGTTGTGTGAAACATGAAAGCCAAGGAACAGACAGAGCTGATTTTCAGCTGTTGAGGAACATTTTCACATTTGAAGAAAAAATCCCTCAACAGAATCTCTACAAATGCATCGAGGAGGTCAGGTGTGCAAGCACACCGGGTCCGACCAGAGATGGGATTCAAACAGTGTTATTTGGGAACAGTTTCATTCCTTGTACCCAAAGCAACCCCTTCTCTATGTCAGAACCCACTTGAATTCCCTCGCTGTGCAAGAAGTGATTTCAACATGTTGCAGAATGCGGCTGAAACCATTTGCAGAGGATAGCCTTTACATTACACAGCCTGGTACACGTGCCGTGTGTGAAGGATGAAGTGTGTATTGACTCCATGGAAGAAGCAATCCAGTGATACACCTCAGAAATCGTTTCTAATGCATCCAACTGCACCTCTTTCTGAGCACTACTCACTTCTTTCTCAAATGCACGTGCAGCTCTGGAGCAGCTGGTGGGCAGCAGGGCTGCACATCCCCATGCTCAGAGCAGGCACTGCTGCAGAGCTGCTGCCCCGCATGCAGCCTACAGCCAACCAGAGCCGCCAAGCTGAGCGTTACAAAATGATGATTTGGGTTTGCACTGTGGAATATTTGCCCTTGAGGCTTGTGAGCCTTTCAGAGAAGTGCGAGTGCTCACAATCACAGAATGGCCCAGTTTGGCAGGGACCTCAAGGATGGTGAAGCTCAATCACCCCCTGCCACACGCAGGGCCACCAACCTCCACATTTCATAGCAGCCCAGGCTGCCCAGGGCCCCATCCAACCTGGCCTTGAACACCTCCAGGGATGGACGGGGCATCCACAGCCTCTCTGGGCAGCTGTTCCAGCACCTCACCACTCTCACAGCAAACAACTTCCCCCTCACATCCAACCTCAATCTTCCCTCCCTCAACTAAAACCATGTCCCCTTGTCCTGCTGTTATCTACCCTTTCAAAGAGTTCACGGAGTGCTCAGCAAACCTGAGAATGCTGTGATGAGTGTGAGCAGAGTTTGCTCTCACATGCAGCCGCCCCACAGCTGTGCCCCACTGCCCAGCACCCTCCTGCCCCCTTCTCTGTGCTCAACACTCCGCAGTGCCATCCATCAGTCTGTGCACAGCACCCACTGTTCCTGCAAGTTAATACGAGAGCTGTAGCACAACTAAGGCAAATGCCACAATCCTTAAGCAAAGGAGCTCTTTGCTCTTTTTGCCTTTGCGTTGCTTGGAGAAGGAATGATTAATTTATAGCTGCACTCAAAAGATATTTCTCCTATTTTTATACTTAGAAGATTGGATAAAACCTACTCATTTTTTAACCAATGATTGTAATCAGGAGTTCTCTACTCAGGAAGCACAAGAACTAGATTTTAATGCTAGCTGTCACATGGATGAAAGTATTTTACTACTTTAGTATTTTTCTAATCATTATTAATGGGGCCGATCTTCTGTAATTTGTAAGTATGGAGAAGCACACTCTCACCCCGATTGCTCAAGGTTTTTCATCCTCTGTTGTGACGCCTCCCCCTTCCCCAGCTCTCAAGCCACATTTCCCAGTAATTAAAGCCCAGAGCTATTCATCTCCATGCACACAGCTCCTCCTGATGATCCATTGGGACTGCACACAAACCCCCATCTCGGTGTGCTGGACACCAGCTTGTCTCCAGCAGTCTCAAATACACGCTCTGAGGGTTGCGTCTGGATAGCACTTGTCAGTACTTAAAAATTACAAAACAATCTTCATTAAATTAAGACCGAAAGCTACCATTATCCTCAGCTCTTGTGCAATTACTGACTTGACCTGAATTGCAAAGCTGCAGGGATAAGTGCATTAAATACCGGCTCATACATCTGGAGCTGAATTCTACCCGCGCAGCCTTTTCAGATGTCACCACATCACCATGTCAGCGTGTCACCACATCACCACCCACCCCCAGTGCCCCCACGCAGGGCTCCCCCCA